ATAAGAAACGGGCAAACACTTCTCAAAGTGAATTCGCGGCGATCGCGTGATGGACGTAACCCGATTAAAAAGTGCAACCAGAAGTTATTTCAACGGAAGAGACGTATTCAATTTCTGCGGAATTACCTTGACGTTCGCCCGGACATAGTAATGACATTTCACATCGCGCCAACTCAATAATAGCTTTATTTCATTTGACAAACGTGCGCGCGTTGCGCAGCGAGATAAAACGCGCGCTCGCGCGAGCGCCCCGGAGCCACCCGCCCCGGGGGCACCCATAAATTACGCCGGCAATTCGTAACAATTACGTCTCTCTCCTGTAATTCTATTATTTATGCCCGCTAGGAAGGGCCACCGCACGGGCCTCCTCCACAGTCCACGTCGTCGTAAAAGGGACGCGGGATATCGATCTGCCTCTTCTCGGCTTATCGTCCGCCGAAGGCACACGCTGCGAAACGCACGTGCGTGTAACCGCATTCGACGTCTATCGGGCGTATAGGTATACGAGCGGCGAAAGGGATCGTTTAGGGGGGCCAGCTGGAGTCGAGCGAGGGGACCGCGCGTTTGACTGTAACAACGTGGGCAAATAGATGCACCGCCGGACGCGGCGATAGACATCGAGACGAATGATGTTCGAATCCCGTCAATGTATCGTCGTGAGATAAGCGTCACGTGGCGCCGGATATTCGTGATAGGCAGGCAGGCGTGAACCATTAATTGAAACACCATTGAACGAACGTCGGATCGACGATAAAGGGCTAATAAAGAAGTATCGTGTATCAGGATCTATTTGGATGTACATCAAATTGTGACTATGTTTTATCATATCACGATATATAAGGTTATTATCAATGTGTTTTTATATTTCACGTGTCTTGCAAAATTTCCAGATATACTAAATTAAATCGTACACCACATACTAATTGGATATCGTATCGTTATGTCGGTTCACGAGAACGTATATTTAATTCCCGCGTCGTTTTTCTAACAACGAGTAACGTATATTTTGTTCTCGTCAGATCATAACAGATTTTTTACAAATAAAAAAAATAATCACCTTCGTGATGAAAGTGATTATTTGTCGAGGCACGCGTAAGTGGACGAAAGACACTTATGCGGATAAAGTTCTCGAGAGTCCTCGAAGGCGCCCGTGCATCCACTATACGCCGCGCTCGCGCTCGCTTCATCTGCGTATAAACAAATCAACGGCTGAGAAGCGGGAAGAGAGATTTGTTCGGTTAAATAAACTGCGGTCCGATGAAAAATAATGTTAAAATCACCGTCAAAGTGAAACCCGCGCCGTTTCCGCCGTGGCAACGGCAAAACAGCCTTTTCGTTCATCGAATTAATAGTACAAATATTTGTCCTTCTGCAACAATTACCGCTGTTATTTTGGACATTTATTTAGCCTCTTTCCACGGAAGTTGTGCGGCAGTAACCCGAAAATATATGAGAATATTATTTCATACTACCCTAATAATATTCTGAATATCCACGCATAATTATGGTAATAGTAACAATTATGATAATTGTATCGAAATAATTAGACAACGTTTTAAAATTCCGCATTCTAAGAACGCAGCTTTGAGCTTCAGCATTTGAGTCTTCCTCATAAAGATACCCCCTTAAATCTCCGATTTTTTTCCTATTGAAATGGGGTGTATCCGCAGCTGCTTGTTATTTCCGATATATTCACATCGCCACTTTCATTAACGACGTACTCTGCATACTATGCATTGGTGATTACGCAATTTGCAGCACTTTTCCGGGTAATCACTTACGGGGCATTGAGCCCGGGGTAGAGGCAGGCCGGCCGGCGAAAAGTGCTCCTCTCGTGCTATGTCGCGCGTATTTACGCGGGTGCGTACGCCGGTCGGATGAAAGGAGAGAGAGAGAGAGAGAGAGTAAGAGAAAAAGAGAAAGAGAGAGGAGGGTTGTCGTTGCGCGGCATCCAGCGAGGGAGAGCACGTATGGAACGACGAACCGGGAGTCCAGAAATAGCGAGGCTGCGAACCGAAGCGCCAAGGCTAGAAAATTTTACAGGCGCCGTAAAATCCGTGCGGCCCTGCGTGCCGCGCGCGAACGTTCGCGCGCGCGGCGGTCGCCGTGCCGCTACTACTTGTTCCTCCAGTGCAGCGACGAAATTTGAACGGAAGCGAGAGAGAAGCTAGCGCGGGCGTTGGAGAGAAGCGTGCATTTTATTTATAGGAAGTTTACGCTGACGGAAACGAGCGCGCGAATGTTCGGCGAGAGAGCGAGCGCGCGCGAGGCGCTATAGGGACAAACGCGAAAATTCCCGTTTCTCGCGCGGGCGGCGTTTCTGCTTGGCAAAACTTGTGACGCGAATGCGCCTAGCAAATTCGCCTAATGAGCCTAAGCCGCGGGTGAGTAATGGTAGCGGCAATAATAGCGAAACGCGGGAGAGCGCGTTAGTAATAATAATAATAGTCACTCCACGCCGCGAGATGCGTTTGCTAAGTTTGGATACGCATTTGCTGTACTTGGAAAGTGGTTAAACTAAAATTAAGGATCTGTCTCTCTCTCTCTCTCTCTCTCTCTCTCTCTCTCTCTCTCACTTATTTCAGTAAATATTACGATCGAAATAAACGTCGAATCTATTTGTAAGAGGATGTGAAATATTTTCGAGACGCAAAATACACGAGTGACAAACAGGAATTTGTGGCACTCCAGAGGATATGACGCGCTCGAAGAAATAGAAGTTTTCTAATAAACAGTTTAGTAATTAACGACGTAGCACAATATATACGTATATATGTGTGCTATTTCCTAGGCATAAACGATAAATTATATATATATATATATATATATGTATATATATATAACTTTAGATTACAGAAAAATAATTATAAAAAGTATTACTTTAGAGATGGTTAGCTATTACCTAAGCTGTAGGCAGTAATTTGCTGTCTATTCAAGAATTTTATTTACAAGAGCCGTTTTCAGAGAGCAAACATTAGATCTCGTCCTGGCAGAGCACGTGAAATATTTTTAACCAACAGAAAATATGTTTATAGAGACTCCGGAATGCACGCTCGTCGATCGAAAGGCCGGGCGTCAGTTCTCCGTCTGTATTCGAGAATTTTGTTTTTGAGAGAGCCGCGGTTCTCTCTCGGAGAGCAAACACCAGGGCCCGATCCTGCGGCGGAGGATCTCGGAATGCTTTTCCCGCTACAAAAGCAAACCAGAGAGCGCGGCTGGTGAACACACGTGACAGGCAGGAAATCGTGGCACGCGTGAAAACTGTCCCTTCTTCCCCCCCTCTCGGACGCAACAATAGGGACCCTTGGGCAAACAAGGCAGAATTCGATGCATCGCGGCTGGCGACGCGACGCGACGCTTCGAAACACGTTTGGTCCTTTCAGAGCGCATTCCTGACCCTCGCCTGTTCCGGAGACCCAACGGTCTCCGCTCCACCCTCTCTATAAGGCCGAGGGCTAGCCCGAGATCACCCGAGATCGCTGTAGCTGTGCATGCAGCGTTTCCAACCCCACACCGATGTGCCGGTGGGGTCGGCATCGCGTAATCGTCCGTACGATGACACGCCAGAAACCCACCCCTGGTTACATTTATTTCCAGCGCACCAAACTCGGGCACTCGGGGTTGCCTTCCTGATGGTGGGCGGAAGGATCGGGACGGAGACGCACACGCACGACGGACGGCGGCGATGCGGAACGCGCGCGCGTGTGCGTGCAATGTACGCGCGAACGCACACGCGGTATTCGATATAGCGTAACTTTCGCACAACCGGGGGAATTGTAACCGGCAGAATTTCGGTGTGATTCAATTCGCGATATACATCGCGGATATGTATGGCCTACGGAGACAGTAAACATATGCTTCGTGCCGAGTGTCTAGCGCCGCTGTCGTTGTTGCGACCAAAACACGGTAGATCGTTTTCGATTGTCTAAAGGCACTGAAACACAAACCCGGCGGAATTACGCGGGATTCACTAATTGATCTAGAGTAGCTCGGTGGAATTCGATATGGCTAGCTACAGGTAAAATCTATATTATGTACCGTAAACGTCGTTCGCCTAGAAAATGGAAATGTCAAATCGAGTTGTGTTATCGTAAGTTCTATATTGTATACGTTAGGACCGTTAGGCTATTTTCAGAGGAAAATCTCTCTCGGAGATGTTTATAAAGTCTCTGTAACTCTTTAAAGATTCTATTTTTATTTCTTGGAATTTAATTTTAATAATATTATCTACGCCTACAATGCGTGTAAAAATAGATACAGTTTAGAATAGCAAATTCCTAGAATCCGCTTTAGACGATCTATAATTTGCGACTGAACGAAATGGAAATCTATTTATAATTTTATCTGCGACGCGTAATACGGGAAACATTTGAAAAATTTAAATACAAACAGTATCTTGTATATATATTTATATATATTATGTATCAAAATAAACGACACGTAAATAATAAATTAGAATTTTTTGCCTACGTTTTATCGCGAACTGCAAGCAGATCCATGACAAAGAATTAAAGAATAAAGCTAGCTAAATATTCAGCACCCACGCGCTTCCCGAAAACCAATAAAATTTTCAGTTCTCGCGTAACACAGGTATATAGAAGTGCTTCGTTTTTACGTTCTCGCTTTTACAAAAGGGTATTACTCATTGCGGCATTTGCATGCGTTACTTAGACTCTTATTTAGCATTACTCCCACGTCCGCGCAAATGCATCTATATATGCATGCGGACCCGAGACGCGTGTGCGTATATATACGTGTGTGTGCGCGCGCGAGGGCGCAATTCACTCGTACGTTAACTCCGCGACCGCGTGCTCGCGCCGAAAGGCGCGCGCGTGTGCGGCCCACTACGCGCGCGTGTGTAGGTGCGTGCCCGCGTTTCAGAACGTGCGTGCATGGAGTGCCGGGGCGTGTATTCGTGCGTGTATGCCGCGCTCGAGAAGAGCGAGGGTGTCCCGGGTAGGGGAAACTAAACGCGTGTCTTCGGTTTTGGTTTTAGTTTCGTGGCAGTCGCTGCCGACGACGACGCCGACGACGACGACGATCGCACGCGATCATATAACGACGACGACGACGACGACGATCGACGACGTTGTCGAGCCTCCTCGAACGGTACCGATCTCGCCGTAGACGCGAGAGAACATGACGCCGTCGTTCTTATCAACGGTATCGTTTCCTCGATTAAATCGCGAGAGCGTGCACACGCGCGCGCCGAAGTGAGTGAACGAGTGAGATCCTTCGCAGCTTCGTAAGGTACCAGCTGCAAGTGCGGCTGAAACTAAATCCGAGAGTACGTGTCAGTGTCTCCGGTGTGTCGCACCGATTGCACCCCTGTGTGTAACGGAGGATTATCCCGAGAGATAAAGATTTATTGTCGGAGTAACGTCGGCGCACGTGCTCCGTTTTCCCCCGTTTTCGAAATACTCGAATAGAATTTGCGCGCGGCTCTCTGTGTGATGCGAGATTTAAATCTCCCTCGTATCGCGAGTGTGGTGCTATCGGACAGACCGTAAGTACTTTTCCCTCGAGCGCCGTTTCGCAAGTATCAACACGACGAGGTCTTCGCAAGTGCCATTTGTGGAGCTTCGCTGGCTAATGAAATAAATTTGCTCGTTGAGAGGCTAAAGTGTTAATTATTGGCGAATGCTCCCTTTCGAGAATCTGGAGTATTTCTCCTTTAATCTAAATCTTATTCTCCAGATTTTTACTCGGTTTAAGAGACTCCATTAATGATACATATATATTCTCCGAGAATATTCGATTTCTCGTAACACAAAATTCAAGACATCAGGCAACGAGATGGGATACAGACGATAATCATTAACGCTGCTAACAGAAAAGCGTGAAAGTGATGCGCGGTAGTGCCACCTGACTGCGTCTCTAAATTAAAACCGCGCGGCGCGCAAAAGGAGGACCACCTACCAAGAATAACATCAGAAGAGAAGTGAGGGGGGAGGTGAGGACCAGTGGTAAAAAGCGGCGTGTAAGAGGCACGCGTCCGAGACGTAGGATCAAAGTTGAAATTCTTCGAGAGGGCGGCGAAGGAGGAGGAGAAGAAGGAAGACGCGCGCGTACGGTCTCGGAGGAAGTCAAAGCGGACGAAGAGGACGACGACCAGATCGAATGGGAGAGTATCGACGGGAAGAAACGATCGTGCGGAAAGAAGGGGAGAACACAAAGGAAGAGGGGGGAAAAACGCGCCGACTGGTTTTGCTAATCAAAAGATTTCGAGACACGCGTCCGGCTTAATAACGAGCGAGGCGAGGAGGAAGAGCGGGCGTGAAAGGACTCGTCGGAGGATCTCCGGACTCGTGAATTGTGTCGCTGGCGCCTGTGTGCTTTTTGTACTCCCGGACTGAATAGGACTGACAAAGAATAAGGGATCCATCCTCAAATAAATGAATAAACATTATTGAACTGCCATCGAATGCAAATATGTTTGCGGAAGACTGGAAATCTTAAGAAGAGAAACCTAAAAATGTTTCGTGAAAATTAAATGTCCGCAGTTCGAAAAGAGAGTATACAGAGAAAATACAGGAAACTTCTTATTATATATTATTTTGAAGTGAGAGAAAGCGATAAAAAAAATTATAGGATTTAAATTGTAGATGCGTGTGGTGCAAAAAAATAATAATTATTTATTAATATATAAATACTAATTATTATAATATAATGTAAAAAGATTACTTAAGTGCAACGAGTTATATGTACGAGTGCAAAAGTTAAAAGCGAAATCGAAGGACGAGAACGTCGAGAATGCCTGGATTTTCCGAGTCCTTCGAGTGGTCGCGATCGATCGACGAAGCGGCGCGATCGAAATTGTTCTCGGATCCGCGTCTGTCTCGTGCGAAGGACTGTCGTTGAATCAACCCCGCGCTTATTTGGAAAACTCAATCGAGATCGATCGAGATCGAATGCTGCTCCCCGTGACGGGAGAACGGATCCGACGTGTTGAGTGCAGCCATCGCGACACCTGAGCCTCGATATACGCTATCGAAATGCGCTGCGCGTCGGGATACGTATTTCTGACGAGTTTGCTGATGGTGCTAAGGACCCGTCGAATGGGCGCGGCTGCGGAGGAGACGGAATTTCAGAACAAAGGTAGGTACGTGCCGGAGTTTCGAGTTCCCTCATCTCGAGGCGTTATCTGGAGTTCTCCTTAACATGTCATCTCCCGAACATCTTTTTATCGCTAAATTTTCGTTTCCGGATTACGCTAAAAGTCGTTGATTTGCAATACCTACTCTATTGTATGTAGTTGCGGTTTATTTTCGACCGTCAACCACCATCTTCGGTACAAGACGAAGGTATGCAAGCGCCTTAGTCCTCGTTTCCCGAAACTGTCAGAAGATTGACATCTAATTAACAGGTCAGATCCGTCAACGAGGCTATTAACGTGGTAGGTCCCTTGAAGCTCCACGCGCCCTCCAAGTTTACATTTAGTTTGGCTACGTTTACACGCTAACCCGTTGACTTTGAATCGACGTCATACGAGGATAAGACAAAAGATTTTTTGATAAATTCCCTTCAATATTAAAATTATTTCCAACTACATATTTTGATATTCTCACAACATTTTATCTATTGAGAGAGAGAAAGAAAAAGAGAGAAAGAGAGAGAGAAGCAAAGTTTTAACGAGCTAGTATCAAAATTTTGTGCATTTCAATGACGTATAGCTATTAACTATAATAGTATTTTTAATAATATTACATATATTATTATATATAATAATATTTTAAAAATAATTTATATATAAAAAAACAAGAAAAGAGGAAACTAAATATAATACAAAATAAATAATAGCTAATAATTAAAAAAAATTAAAGAGAGAGTATCGAATTAGAGAGACCATCGATGATTTTGTGTCATTTTAGTGTAACTTGTGAGGTGCCTTGGCACTTTTTGACTATCGAAACCAACCGGAAGGATTTAAATAAACCCGCAGACCCGCATGCGACCTACTGACGTTTTAGCGTTCGTATATAAAATTCAATCAAGGCTCCATTTGTGCGGCTCAATCTCTTAGCGCATTAACTGCAATCCCACACGATGCGTCGTTTCCTGTTTATATCTATTTCGATAAAATATCTTAATTTGCACAGGGGAGGAAGCAGATAAGATTGCATTCGCTAACGAATTCGCTAAGAAACGTGCGTACATGCGTGAACAGTTTAATTAATCGTGTCGCGAGGAAGAATCCGGTGAGTGCGGTAATAGCTGTGACACGACGGTAGACGGTAGACAGGTAGACAAAAATTGAAACAGCCGACTCTGAAATAGACGTCGCCAGTTTAATTTGGCGAGACTGCCGACGTTCGCCAGTATGCCAGAATAATTACGTTATTAGTCTCCGAGTCGCGGACACTCTCGGAAAATCGCGAAAACAGACGTAAAAAATAAAAATATATCACGCAGAATCCGGAAGGGAACTTCGGTTGTAAAACGTGTAACAAGTGAAATTAAATTCGTGGATTTTTGCTGGTTCCGACGCAGTCAATAATATTCGTCAGCGTCTCTCTACGTAATTCCCGTAGTTGCTTAATAATTGTGTAATTTAACAGTATTTAACGGGAATTTTATTAGCAAGAAATGCGGAAATTTAAAATACAGAATAATATATGAATAATTTAAAATACAGAATAATATATGAAAAAAATTATTTTAATTATATGCTTTAATGCAATTACATGCCTTTTTTAATTATGATGATTTTTTAAAATATTATAATTTCGATCAATTAAACGCGAGAGGAATATCGAGGAAAATTGAAATTAATAATATAATAAAATAATAACATCGACTAACGCTAATGCTCTCTAATTGCGTGAAGATATACTAATGTAATGAAAAAAGTACTGAACCGCAACCGTGTTAAGATAACGAGCGGCATAATGCTAGAGCGCGACTGCATTGCGACCGTTAAGATAAAGTAACCGCGTGCGATTTATCTATCCGCAAATTATATCCGCGTTACGATAATGTGTGCAGCAGGATCCTGCCACGTGGAAAACAGTCGATCGAAAATAGGAAACGCCATGACCGCGATTTGGCGAGTGGATATTTTCATTGACGAATTCCCTCCCGAACCCCGGACGAGAACGCGGGAAATTCATTTCGACAAGAGAATTCGCGCGACTTATTTCCACGCGGGTGGAAAGAAACCGTATCTTTGGCTCCGTCACTGTGAATTGCGATCAATTCATACACAATATACGACTGAAGGCATCACTATAAATTGCGTGAATTAACGTTGCCAACAAACACGACGTATTTCATAAATTTCGAGATGCAACAGCGAGATATATGAAAAATGTATCTTTTCGTCAAAATATGTACATTATTGAGAACGTAGCTAAATATACAGAAACATATATGTGTAAAACTACACCCAAGCTCGATGATGAAGCCCTGATAGTTTTACAATATCGACCGTTTGATGATCGTCCGATCATTTGCCTATACGTGAGACTAGATGATGGAATCTCGCCATTTATCATCACACGCTCATGTAGGTATCGCGAGAGCCTTTTACATGTTTGTCTAACAGTAAAAGTCATGCGGAACGGCCCGTTGCGAAAGCAACACTTTCTGCGAAATGAAAACACATAAAGCACTGCGGCGTGCTTTTCGCGCTCGCGAGATCATCCTTGCGCGTCGTTGCATCTCAACAACTCTCTCTCGATATAACGCATGCTAATCTCCTCATGCACAGTTCAATTTGCATCTTATCGATAAGATATACATACATGATAGATCAACGAGCCATTTTTATATGAAAGAAGGATCAGGTATCACGCGTAAAATAACATTAAAATTTAGCTCCAAAGAAAAAAGATTCCAAAACATAAGAACGAAATGGTAACGTTCATCTTATATTGTTTGGCAATGAATTTAACTTAAAATTCAGCAATTTAGAATATTAATATTAATACATAAATTTATATAAAAAAGCAAATAAGTAGAATATCGTTTAAATTTCGCGAAATTAATTAAGTATGAATTATATACCTTCAACATGTTGGTATGTGCTTTTAATTAGTGCGCATGCATTGTTGCAAGCATCAGAAATGATAAAGTAGAATAGGATAATTCCTCATTAAATGAAAACGGACCTTTGTGCATATCTATATTCCGGAGCGTTATTTCGCAGGTAATTATACGTTACTTTTAATGCCTAATTGAAAGCGTAATTAGCGTAGTCAGCGTGAATTGCGCTTCACAAATATTTCGCAGTATGATGTACATCGCCGTATTATTATATAATATGTATAGTCGCTTAGCCCTTATTGATCCGAATAATCGTTGATTCATCAAACAAGAACCGCGTTGTAATTAATTGCAGCGCGCATTTTGACATTTGTCCGACCGCTTACCGATTCTAAACTCGTTGTTGTGCGTGACACATGTCGCCGGCGTTACTGACCGGTGTATGGTTGATTATATGCACGAAAATTATATGTGGAAGATAGAGGTAATAATATATACAGACAACATCAAATATGTACGATGCAATATCATTGAAATAGTTAATAGATTAAATCTACTCGTTAATACGTCGAAATAATTGGCAATCTCGGATCGACAGCGATTAAATCTGGATTATCTGGTGGACATTTAACTGAGATTACGCGAGAGCATATTTTTATTTTTGAATTGACACAATTATAAATCCACGAGATTGGAGCGATTAATTCCACGAAATTATTCATGGACTACGGCTGTAATAAAATGCTAAAGTGTTTCACGTGTATTTTGTAAAAGATAAAATCGCAATCTGTTATCGTTCCGATGCTGATCGCGAAACATTGCGTCGTCAATGTTTCAACCCAAAGTGGTCAAGGGTCGAACGATAAAATAGCGAGGTGGAACGTGGAGAAAGGGTTGCCTTTTGAAAGCGGAACAGGTTCAACTAATGTAACGAGGGAACCACGCGGGATACGTGGGTCAGAGCATTGGTGAAATTATCATACAAAGTGGTCAAAGCTATCCCGGTATGTATGCCCCTTCCTTTCCATCCCTCGGGCGACCCTTGGGACGGACAGCTCGCAGGGAGGTCGAAAGGAACAGAAGGTGGTCGACCGAGAATATCGACATAATTGTCGGGTTGCGTGTGGCTCGTTATTTTGAAACAGATCCGGATAATTTAGGTAGGTTGGCCACATGCTCTTCGTAAATAATTACCCAACATCGACGTGAGATATATTGCCTATTTCTCAAACAAGAATTTCTAATTCGTTTCGGGCCTTCGTAACTCTTTATCGATTTAAATACGATAAATCAAGCTTTCACATTGGTCAATACTATTACTATTAATCATTTTATGTTTTGAATGAAATTTTCGTCTTTGTGTGTGTGTGTGTGTAAAGCTTGCCTCCCCAATTCATCATATAATTTTCGGAAAATCACCAGTAGATATTAGTATTATTTATAGATACTAGTACTAGTTTATGAATTGATTCACTTATTTGTGATTTTTTAATTTAAATTTGATTGTTTCTTTATATAAATATATTTTCTTATGTAAGCAAAGAATTTTCTCGAGTTTTTATATAAGTCTCATCTTTCGTAGCATTATTTTCTCGGTTATTTTCTTGAAGCCAACAATCTTCTACGCGCGCATGGAAAAACTTCATCGTGTCACAAGTACGGTCGCGAATTCGATCCGCGGGGTGATAGGTGCACAATCGAGTGAAAGAAAGGACAGAAAAAGAGGCCAGGCCCGCACGGAAATAGACGCGAATCGCCGGAAGCACGATTTCCCAACGAACACACGATACAAAAATAGCGGGGTTGTCCCTCTCTCGGCGGACTATTATTTACATAACCACCCGAGATGCGCGAGCGTCTTTTTTTCGATCTTCAGATCGGCCCTCCTGGAAGACGAGAGGAAAGAGGGGAAAAGAGAGAGGAAGGAGTTATCTCTATTTCTTACATCAAAACAAGGAAAAAAAGAGAGAAAAAGAACAAGAGGAACGTGCGCAGCGATCCACTTTGGGGTCCATGAACTATATTCATTTTTTCTTCTCGCCTGGAAGACAGGTGGATGCAGTAGTGGAGTAGCCGACCGCTTAAAAACAACAGATCTATTCTTTTTAACCGCAAGCTCTTACGTTCTTCTTTTTTTTGTGAGATTGAAATGAAAGGAATATATACTCATGCCATAAGAAGAGGAATAAAACAGAAAATGGCCGTTTTTGTTCGGAGAGAGGAACCGAAGCAGTAATGAAATACGGATGGACTGGTGTCATAAAGAGTTTATAATTTCTAGGTATTAAGAAACGTGAGTTGTTATATCCTTAAAATAAAAATAAAAATCGTAGGGAAGAAAACGTATTAAAATTTTTCCCAATTAATTACTGCTTGCTCGCAATTTCTTGTACACGACAAATGCACAAAAAAATATGATAAAATAATGTGTGTATAATATTTAATTGTCAAATCACTTCAAGTTGATTTAATATGACATTATACAACACCCTAAAGCTTCAAGATTCTCCCTTGAATGCCTTAACAGGTGCAAATGCGCCGCTGAGTGTACGGCAAGAATGCCTAACTATATACTAATGTAAAACTCGACAGGATGGTTAGTCGCAACCCCTCTCATCGGGTTCTTAAAGGCTCGTTGAGGGTGATGAAACATGTAGCGGCGTACTAATGAAGCGGTTCCTCGCGAGCGGCATCGTCGTTATGCTCGCGTCGTTATGGCCACGTGCACGATGCTGCGCACGGGAGAGATGCATCCGCTTTGCTAAACTCGGTCCGGTCTTACATGAATAAGTAGCGACATGAAAATTTAAATGTGACTTTTGTTTTCCTCATTGTCTCTCTCTCTCTCTCTCTCTTCTATACTTTCCACGATAGTCTGTAATGTACAGAAAATATCGTTTTTCGGTTATAGGTATAACATTCAAAGTATATTGTCATCTAATGGTTCGTCACGCAGGTCTGTTAGGTTTTGTCGAAAAAAAAAATGGGAACTCGATAAAATATCAGACGACAGACGTCTCGAGACGTGTGCGTTTACAATGGGAGAGTTATCAATGGCATACCTCGATGTGCATTAACAGCAGCGCGCCTCGTGCACGTGCGGCGACGGCTGTCCGGTCGGCGCGGCCGGTCGGTTTACGCTATATCGTTTCTATTTTCTGCACTGGTACTTCATAACGACGTGGCGAATCTAAGTTTAAATCGCACGCTGAGGACCGCGTAAAATCATGGACGATGGTGCATCGAACCGATGTCCACCGTCGCGGTTGCAATTGTGTGACGAGCTTACAAAGTTGAAACGATTGTGTTATGTGAAGAAACTTTCGACCTCCGCGGAGACAACAGGCAAAGAACATAGGATTTCTTAGCATTTCTTATAAGTTATATTTAATTTTTATTTTGTTTGCTCAAAATACGCTAATTTAAAACTCCAACATTACCATGTTGCAATTAAAAATTAGAAAAATTCATGTATGTTAAATAATAATTATACAGGGTGCCTTATTTTAATTAAAACAGCCAATTTACTCCAAAATTGTTGATTCAAAAAATTCAAAAAATGTTTGAGATGTGAAAGTGAAACAGTTTCGAAGAGGACATATTTTGATCAAGTTGTTTTTTTTCTAGGTGGAGGCGATAAAAAGATATGAAAGTCACCTCCATTTTTAAAAATAAAACTATTTAGTATTAATAGAATTTTTTTACATAATAGGATTCTTCTAATTATTCTGCATATAAAAATATTTCATATATCGGTTTTGTAACGTCTTCTAACGTTGTCCGGTTCTCTTACATATGACTGTGCAGGTGCGCACGCAGATTATACACCCGTCATATGGGACCTACATTTTTAACACTGGTTTCGAACGGCAAATTTTTCTGAGAGGTTTTTAAGCTAAAATACTCTCGTTGGCTCGCCAGGCCCACGCAGAGGAGCGTATGTAAATTTTGACTCTGCCTGAGATCAAACCCCGAGACTTCTAGCATAGCAAACCATTGTGCTATCTGCCACGCTACGCTCGCTCTCTAAAAGTATCCATATATTTTCAACGTAAAATATGAAATATCCCGTAAATTATTGATTTTTTGATAACCTTACCTTAATACTTTTATGCATAGAATAATGAGATGAATCGATTAGTGTAAACTGTAAAGAAAACATACAGCTGCCTTGCAAAAAAATTAAAAATTGTATATTTTTAAAAATAGTCAATTTTAATTTTTTCGGTATAGTTTTTTTTTACCGTATAGGATTCTCCTTTGGCTATAAAGCAAAAAATAAAAAATTGAGAGACAACATCACACGGTGTTCCCAAGCGGTCACCCATCCAAGTACTAACCGTGCTCAACGTTGTTTGACTTCAGTGATCGGACGAGAACTGGTAGTTTAAACGTGATTTGGAAGTTGTCCGATTGTTTAAGTTATTTGAAAAAAGTTTTGTTCTGTGATAGATAGATGAAAAACACATAGCTGTTTTAAAAAAAATTATGTAATTTGCAATATGTAACTACATTTAATTTTTTTAAGAGTAATCATATATTTTCTTTACACTAATTAACTCATCTCATTTTGTGCCTAAAAGTATTAAGAAACAATAATCAAGAAATTAGTAATTTACAAGGTATTTCATACTTTACCATGCCGTATTTCGACATAAAATATGAAATATCTCGTAAATTGATTTCTTGATAATTGTACTTTAATACTTTTAGGCACAGAATGAGATGAGTTGATTAGTGAAAAGAAAATATATAGTTGATCTTTAAAAATCTGCAATATGAGTTACATATTGCAAATTAGATAATTTTTAAAAAACCACTATGTGTTTTTCATCTCCATATCATAAACAACAAAACTTTTCCCATGCAATCGGACAACTTCCAAATCACGTTTAAACTACCAGTTCTCGTCCGATCACTGAAGTCAAACAACGTTGAGCACGGTTAGTACTTGGATGGGTGACCGCTTGGGAACACCGTGTGATGTTGTCCCTCGATTTTTTATTTTTGCTTCATAGGAGAATTCTATATACGGTGAAAAAAACTATACCGACAAAATTAAAATTGACTATTTTTAAAAATATGCAATTTTTACTTTTTTTACAAGGCAACTGTATGTTTTCTTTACACCAATCGATTCATCTCATTATTCTGTGCATAAAATATCAAGGTAAGGTTATCAAGAAATCAGTTGTTTGCGAGATATTTCATATTTCATTTTATGTCAAAAATATATGGCATGATAAAGTATGAAATACTTTTATATGCAGAATAATTAGATGAATCATACTTTTAGGCACAGAATGAGATGAGTTGATTGGTGAAAAAAAATATAAAATATAAAAATATTATGTAGAAAAATTACATTCTATTTAAAAAAGTAGAGATGACCCTCATATCTTTTTAGCGCTCCCCCCCCTCCCAAAAAACCACCTGACCAAAATACGTCTCTGTCGGAACCGTTCCACTTTCATTCGAAACATTTTTTAGTATTATAAATAATTTTGGAGAAAATTGGCTGTTTTAATTAAAATGGAACACTTTGTATATTACATATAGACTATAGATTGTATCAATATTTATAAAATGCATAATATTAAATTTATCTATTTATTATCTAATTTATATTTTAAAATAATAAACTATCGAAATTATAAATTAGAATTTTAAAACAACATTAGAACAGTATTTTCCTGTGTTCTTTTCGATTGTTGCTAACGTTTATACGATAATTCGCTGATTCATGTATTCTTCCGCCGGCCATTCGTGGGCGTAATCGCAAAAAAACGTGTGATTCATATATCACAGGAAAGATTTGTATCTCGACTTTTAACTAGGTTGATGTGCGATGGTTATTGATCATAATTTTGAACGGACTGAGTATTCCAATATTTTACTCTCTAAATCTCTTGGTGGAATCTCGTAGAATCAAGTGTCTAAAATCAGATAATAGACTGAAAAAAAAAAAAGATTTTAAAATAAAAAAAAATATGGTAGATGTTCTGGAGCGTAGTACTAGAAAACATGCGATTTTTCCTTTTTCAGTGCCCGTGAGGTTAGTCTGGGCCACCGAAGGCGACGATGTGGAGCTGCCATGCGACATCACACCGCCGACGCCGGGGGATTCGGTTAACATGGTTCTCTGGTTCAAGGACGACGGCGGGATACCGCTTTACAGGCAAGTCTTGGACTTTAAAAATAATCCTACCCCGTTCCGACTATTTTTACGTGGCGCTTAACGCCACAAAGCTAGGACGTCAACCCATCTGAATTTAACTTCGCGAAAGATGCCGCCATTAATTTCACGAATCACAAGCTACGACTTACTCGTCAAAAATTAGAAGGAGAAACGTAGAGAAGCCGTAGGAAGCCCAACGTCCGCAAATTTATATGCGGATCAGAATATATTTCTCAAAACACACAGCAGAAACTAAATTTTTTTTCTCATCCGAAAGCGCGCGACTTTAAAGATTAAAAATATTCTTTCTGCTGTCTGTTTCCTGTTTTCTAAGAACCCACGAGAAGTGATTCACGTGACTGAATTTCCGTCGAATACCGGCTAGGTCCGCTATTGGGGGATGGGATGCCATTGTTCTGAAGCCGCATCTCGAAATATCCCGGCACAAGCCTAGTGAGCATGAACTCTCATTATGGATACCTCCGACGTGCCCTGTTCGCGATATATAAATATCACGGGCTCATTAACAGTCGATGTAACTAAGCGCAACCTCTATATTTCAATGCTGAAGAATGTCTTTAATAATTGGATAACAATTTTATGTAAAACAGATTAATAATTAAGACGTCGATCTTAATTATTTCGAGCTAAAAAGACGTATTTAAAATAATAGGATCATCAAATTAAAACTTTTATATCTTAAAAATATTAATATATTATAGTTTTTGTAAAAAAAATTATGTATATATTTATATTTATATAATATTAATTTTTAACATTCGGAAATTAAGTAAATTTTAATTTGTAAGTAGAAGTACACGATTTTTACGGAACGTTCTGAAAATCATCATATTTATCATCTTGTCCATCTTATTTAAATACTCATTGCGTGGACGGTTATAGAAAACGGATGCATTGCGCATTGGTGTGTACACGAGGAAATTCAAGTTAAGCTAGATCAGGACTGTATAAATAATTCGACTGAATTTCCACGATCGGAAGTGTGGGATGATGGAATTTCATAACATCGACCGAGCTTCAGGAATAGCAGTCGATCGAAGACCCTTTTCGGCTGACATAGGCATTAAACAGAGCGCGAGGCTTATTTACGAAAACGGTCTCTGGGATCGTAAAGCAAGATGTTTCCTCATCAACTACCATTCGTTCGTCTATGAAAAATAAATGGAATAGTGTGTAAAAGTCACATGTGTTTGAAAGAATTTTTATCACTTTATTACGATCTGTTTTTCCAATTGTCGCATTGTTCATTTGCTAAAGAATTAAAAAATATAATATATTTACGTAATATATAGTATAGTAAATATACGCGAGTTTCTTTCATCTCATTTATTTTTATTTTTCTAATAAGACGTATTTTCCACTCAGATTTCAAAATCAGAATTTGAAGAAAAATATTATTTGAAAATGTTATGAAGCTTATCATTATAGAAAAAGGAATTATGAGAAATTGAGCGATATCAATAACACGTTTTTATTAAAAACTGAAACGTCTCGCTTCGAGATGAAAGTTTTATGCGAATCTCATAGAAATTCTTGGGACGAGCAAAAGAAAATACGAACAGCTAAAAGTGCAATGCGAAAGCGCATCGTGCAATGTGGACGATGCAGGAAACTGTCAGCGAGTGGTTATCAGAAACGTGATGGTTATAAGGCTCACAAGGGAGCATAGAGTTCCGGGTAATATCAAAGGACCTTCATAGAAGAAATGCAACAAGCAAAAGGGATCGTGGAGCGTCAAAGGGAAGCGCGAACGAGTTGCGAGGATGGAACATAAAGCAGGTCTCTGGTTATTTGCGCCTTCTGCTGGTGAAGCGTTTCTCACAGACTTTCCCGCGGACTCGCGCGCTTCCGATAGTCGCTGAAATGGTCGCGAAATGGCAGAAAAAAGAGAAAGAAAAAAACGAATCGCGCCGAGTCGGAGGGAACTCGCGCTGGCGGCGCTTCGAATCCGGCGACGAAAGGTTTTATCGCAATATTCATACCTTTCATTTCGATGCATAAAATGAGGAGAATTTCGTTTACCATCGACAGTCACTTGTCGATAAACGACGAGTGGGGATTTTAGAATCTTTTTAACAGTTTCATCGCGTCGACGTCGCGTCACGACTTGGTCCATTGAACGCACGTGATTTAAGCGAGGGGGTTAGTCCACCGGTTGCGCTTTTTGCGTTTTACGCCTCCGGATTCCTCGTAACGGAGGACATTTCGTGCGTTCGAAGAACCGTCATATTCTCGTTTCAACGAGGATAGGAGGATGGCTCTGCTCAATTTCACGGCACATAATCCGGGTTACATGAGATGGAACTTTCCGTTCTCCATCGCTTCCGAGTTTGACTTTGACGGCGTATTTGGCGAAGATCGTCGTCGCGAGCCCCGCGTATCATATCAACGGCGCGGGCTCGCGCGGACGTGCGGTAAACAGCTTTAATGTATCTCTTTTTCCGCTGCCAGCTGTCCGTTTTTCCACCGCGCCTCGCCGAAATAACGATTTCCTGTTCCCGTTATTGCGCAATAGTCACCGCCCTCTAAAGCTGAGAGGATCTAAATCCGCGAGCGGCGAGTTTGCCAACTGACCTTTTTTCCGGCCGCGAATAGACGACGCGCGCGATGCGCGTGAACTTAGTCACTAAGAGCCAATTGGCGAAAGCGTGATGTTTACCGAGCTTCCGTACCGGAAATGCGCGAGATTGCGATGGAGGAGTTTAGCTTAGAAAATTCCTCTTGATTGAATCAATGGCGCCTCGGCACGAGAGAGGCATACCTTGAATACGGTGCATAAACAAATATTTTTACCTTTTTTACCGAGAAAAAAAAAGCGAGAGTCTTTCTGATTAACTGAGAGAAACGTATCAAAGAGAGGAAGTAATATTTGACAACATTTCGTCCCAATTCAAATTTTTGTTAGACTATTTTGAAAATATTAGTAATACGACAACGCTTTTTTTCATTTCGCGAAGCTGTTTGCGCTCACTAAAACAAGTTTTTCACTCGAGTTCGTTTGCTTGGTCTGACTTGAGAGAAATTGCGTGCTTAAAAAATAGTTCGAATCAGCCGAAATACAAAATCCAGTTAATTATTATTCTTAATATAATATTATATAGAAATTATATTCTATATTTCTATAATAATATTGTATTATATGTATAAAAATTATTGTTTATATTCTTTTAATGTTATATTATACACTATAGCTTGATATATTTGTTCCTCTTTGCAGTTTGGACGCGAGAAATGGTAGTTTGAATAACGCCATTCACTGGGCGGTCAGCGACGACCTCGGGAAACGAACGTACTTCAAGATTGGCGACGGTCACCAGGCGAAATTAAAGATCACCGAGGTGACGTTGAAAGATCAGGGGGACTTCAGATGTAGAGTGGACTTCGTGGACTCGCCGACGCGAAACTTTCGCGTGAACTTAACTCTAGTTGGTAACTATCGCGTTTCAAAGAGTGACAAAAGGGTAACGAAACATCCGTTTTAATGTACCATCGCCGTTTGACTCTTTCAGAGCAGCCAAGTAAGCCTGTGATATACGATGCCCAAGGACGAGAGGTAACGGGGGTGGGCGGCCCCTTTCTCGAGGGTTACAACCTAGTTCTGATATGTCAAGTGGCTGGAGGTAACGCGCGATCTTATCTCCTTAAGTTTTATATAACGCATACTTGCGCGAACATCAACATTTTTTGTCATTATTCGGCGAAAAGTTATCGTTGTCTATATTCTCTTTTGGAAGCGATATTCGTCCACAGTGTGAGCTTGATCGATAAAAAAAAACCACGGACGTAATTGATTCACAGGTAGACCTAAGCCCTCAGTGACGTGGTGGATGGACGGCGAGCTCCTGGACGGTGTAGTCGATACCTCATCTATCGGATCGTCGAGCAAATTTACGGAGAATCACTTGTTCATCGACCAAGTCACCAGGTCACTGTGGGGAGCGAAACTCGAATGTAGGGCTCAGTCCGGACCGATGGAGCAACCTGTCGTCCGCGAAGTGCCTCTCGACATATATCGTAAGCGTCACATTTTACGTAAAACAAAATTATATATTTAGCTTGAAGAACCATTGAAATTGATCTCAGGAAGATTTTGAAAGACACAAGACGCAGTTCGCGAGTTATATTTTGAAAGCTGGTTTCCAATTTTGACCCTGATTACACAAGTTCGTAAATCTCTTGGCGATCACGCCCTACCGAGGATCTTCCGACGCTTCTTTTTTTTTTTAACTTCTTCAATGTTCGAGCGACGAAATGCAAAGGGCGGCATTACCAGGAAATAGATCATAAATGCCGCGTTAACGTGACATCTGCTTAAAATAAAATCGAAGAAACACACGCACACACTCTTCAAGGCCGTTGCCTAGATCCTAAGCACGTGCTAAAAGGCGATCTCAAGCGGCGCGTGTTAAAGGGCACTCTTGGCACGTTTTATTCGATCGACACGTTGCGCTTCCGTTCCTACGCCTTCCTCCCTAGTATTTATTTTTAGGTCGAGCTAAACAGGAAAATCGTTACACTTTGCATCCACGAGAGGCTGCTACGGGGAAAACACTTGTTGCAATCCTCGGAGAAGGGCGGCGATTCGAATCTAAACACTGACCTTACAAGATATTACAGAAAATATTACAGAAAGAGTAAATTATTTATCTAAAAAGATGAATTATTTCTTGACGTTTTCAATCAATCGATGAAACGTAAATATGGAAAAATTATTTAATACGTTACATATTTTTTCAATTAAACAGATATTATTTTCTATTTTATCGCATTACCCTAATTTTCTTCTTAAATCCACCTCTTATTCAAGATTCTTTTGCATCCCGACATACGTATTTCATAGCGAAGAAAGAAATATAAATAGTTGCAAGCAACTGACCCGCGGCGGAAGCGAGATGAATTCCAACCATTTCTCGCGGACCTTCTTAACTCCTTTGACGGTTATATTTCGCGGAATTGTCGTCCAAAAGTAAAAATACGCGGTTGTCGGGGCGGCGAGCATCTGGCCCTCCCTCTCGGACCGTTATTTTCGTGGCGCAACGCCGACGACGAAGTTCTCGGCTCGCTCGTAGTTTTTTGTATCCCGCAGGAATCATCCGTCGTGCCTACATCCGCAGATGTAAATTTTTGACGGCGAAGTATGTTGCTTGTTAGAGACCTCCACACGCTTTTTGCCTTCGTGTCTTCTTATATTAAAAACCCAAAGTCAATCAAGACGAAACAACAAAGTATTGTAGAAACGATATTTTTTTAACAGCTTAATATCATCCGCGTAATTTTATCTTTTACTATTAGCTGCTGTCGTATTTTCAGTTAAGCCGGCAAACGTGAAGATCGTTTTGAGCGAGGAGCAGATCTTCGCGGATCGTCCGATCGCCGCCAAATGCGAGACGTCGGGTAGTTTTCCAGCGGCTAGGATCATTTGGAGGCTCGGCGAACACGTGATAGGCGACCCCAATCCCTACGTGTCCACCACGCAGAAGAATAACAAGACAGTGAGCAAGCTGGAATTGGTCCTCAGCAAGGACGACGACGGCAAGGAACTGGTCTGCCGAGCCGAAAATCCGAGATTTCCCGGAGGAGTGTTCGAAGAAGTCAAAATACTTCGCATTTCTTGTGAGTCTTCGACTTTGCAACGTTTGTAACTTTCGAATTTGGCTTCTTAATAAATGTGTAATATTAAATGTACAAATCTATCGAAACATTTTTTTCCTATGTATTATTTGTAGAATTTTAGTACAAATAGCCATCATAAATAATATTTTTTGAAGAATCTTGCATGAAAAGAATGAAGAAATAGTTTTGCTGGATACAGATCTAAAAATAATTTTTGTTGGACCATCAAAATAAATTTGTTGGAAAGTCAAAAAAGATAAGCATTATTATAAAACGTTTTGAGATTCTAGCAATCAATTTGACTTTCCAACAAAATTATTTTGATGGTTTAACAAGAATTATTTTCAGATCTGTAGCCAGCAAAATCGATCTTTCCGTGTCTTTTACATTATTAGCCTCATTAATTGAAACGATAGCATTCGTTGCGAAATCAAATATTATAATAAATAATGACGCAATCTCTTTAAAATTACAAACAGATGCTCCGGTAGTTGTCGCTCGTTTGGCTAACGGCTACGTCTTGGACACTTTGAGGGAGGGCGACGATCTCAAGTTGATCTGCGACATTCAGAGCAATCCGCCACCGGCACAAGTGACTTGGTACCACGATGTGAGTAGAAAGAGAAGAAGGAAAGAAACGAGACTCATAATCCAACATGACTGACCACGGTTCAAATCCTCGTGTTCTTGTCTGTAGAATCAGCGACTGGAGCACGACGTAAACGCCGGAATTCTGCTGGCGTCCAACTCGCTGACCCTTCGCGTGCTCACGCTCGCACACGTCGGCGAGTACTCCTGCGTAGCCACGAACCACGTGGGACAAACCCATAGTTCGCCGCTTTTTATTCACATGAAATGTGAGTAATCGCGCCATATTTTTTAACATGTCGCGCGAGACTTATTTTTATTAAAACGGACCGTTTGTTGCGTCTCGGATAGCAATGTCTACGACAAACTAAACTAGCAATTAACTATAGAAAATTTAATAACTAAGAAAATACGTTAAAACAATTTTATAAAAAAAAATAACAATCATATAACATATAATATTTATAAATTAATATTCAATATAATATTTAATATAATTAAATAAGACAATATTTATAATATTTATTATTTAGTAGATTTTTGTATAAAACAGATTTTCGTGCCACACTTTTCTTATGTTTTCTTATGTTTTCCCTAACAATTCCAAATAATTCAATAGACGCACCGAGGTGCAGAGAAGATGGCAAGAGACGAGAGATCACCGTCGCTCGACACGACACGGTATGGCTGCAGTGCGTGGTGGAAGCGTTGCCTAACGACTACGTACGATTTTCATGGACCTACAACAGCACTGTCGGCGACGTTTTACCTATACCAAACTCAAGAATCGAGAGTCAAGGGCTTGTAAGCGTGTTAGAATACACCCCCAACACCGAAACCGATTACGGCACATTGGCTTGCTGGGCGAGCAACAGCATCGGACGGCAAAGGACACCCTGTATATTTAACATCGTACCTGCTAGTGGGTTATCAGCCATTAATTTTGTCTCTCACGTTCTCATTAACATTCGTAATGAAAGAAATTATACATCTCTAAAAAAAAAAAATTTCTAACAATTAAAATATAAATTTTTTACTAGCACACAAATTTTTAAAATCTTTTTAAAAGAGTTACATCTCTTCATTGCTTAAATGCTTGCTTTTTTTTTAATCGTCCAGAACCACCGCAACCACCACTGGACTGTGCGTTGCACAACGAGACCAGCTCGCTGGAGGTTAATTGCATCCCGGGATCGGATGGCGGGTCGCCGCAGCACTTTTTGCTGGAGGTACGAGGATCCCTCAGGAATTCCGGGATTGGCCATATCGGCCCTCACACTCTTCAAACGCCCCAAAGCGATCAGGGGATGGTCGGGGAATCTCCCCCCATATATCAGGACATGAATCCGACCCCGAACTTCCAGCTTCACGATCTTCAGCCGGGATACGATTACACGGTGTACATTTACGCCGTCAACGGACGTGGCATGAGCGAGCCCGTTCTTCTGGAACACGTCAGCGTCGTCGAACCCATCGGCGGAAAAATAGAGAGGAGCGGGATCTTTTTGGAAGATCTGAAAAAGGCGCTGCCGCAAGCCAGCTACGAGAACATGATCTTCGCCATTGCACTGACAGGTACAGGTAAAGTCGACGCTGCTGGCTTTTTCAGTTTCGCCCAATGCACTAATTTAACGCCTAATTACTTGGCAAGCCACGGTCTAGTTTGCCGCGAGTAAATCTAAATCGAAACGAAAATTCATTTCTTCACTCGTTCAAAATTTTTGTAAACTATATTTAAACATTTTATCGCTTTTACTTTAATATTATAATCAAGAGTCGTAGTAGCATATATTATTTTTTTTCATACCAACAAAAAGACTATTCCTGAAAGCAAAAGTCTGCCACATTTATGAATTTTTAGATTTCAAGTTTCTATTATGCTGTGATATTTTAATTTATTCTCTGTAATTAAATAATCTATTAATGTAATATATAAAAGATTTTATATTTATTCTCCCCGTGTACATAATGCAACTCTGAATTTGAAAGGCGCGGCAGCGTTAGTCCTCATCGGTATCGGTGTAATCATCGGTGTGGTGGTCTGCAGAAGGAGATCGAACGCTCCCGTAATAGAAGGCCCCGACGACTTCACCACACCGACCTACGTTCCGGCCCAAAGAATTGAGCCCAAAATCAGATATTCCAACGAGAACAGGCGTTCTCAAAGGGCGAGTCTCTACATTGAGGAAAATCGAAAAGGTATACCTATTATAAAAAAAAACAACGCATGCCGCTGGTTCGTGAAATTCCTAAAATTATTAAATCTTCTTTCAGAACCCGATTTACTGCATCGGGTGGAGCTAGATTTACAAGATTGAGTCACCTGATTCTGTACAGTTACGAATAATCAAGACAATGAAGTGCAATGTTAAGTAAAAATTCCATACGTAGAATTGCTCCTCGATATATTCGCGTCAATTTGTACGTTCCATCTATCGAATTTATATCACGTCGTAAAACTGGAAGCATCGTGGTTATCGGCTATAACGAATAGCCGTTAACCATGCGAATCGCTCATTTGACTCGATGGATTAGAGCGGTGGAACGACATGTGGTACTTTTTACGATCGAGTTGGGAAATCAATGCCGGTCTTCAACGCGAATTGAGGCGTTACAAAACATTCTATTAGTTATTTATGTTCGCCTTGCGCGAAACGTAAAATATTCGCAGCCGAAATTTTTACGTTAGGTTGTACAGGGCTAAAAGGGTTAAAATAATGTTATTATAAAATGTACAGCTATTTTTACAGCGTAGGAGGCTAAGGCGTACGGTGTATTTCCGTATACTTGCAAAGTATTAACGTATTATTAATGTCGATATAAAAAACGTGATTTTATGTACCTTTCTCGCTTAATGAAGACTGCTTCAAAAAGACTACGTTTTTTTTTAAACTAAATCTGAATTGTTTGAAACCTTCACAAATTTTAATCGCGCGCATTTTACGAATTTCATCCAATTATAAAAACGCAAATTTGTTATACTTCCGTTGAATCATACTCCACGATTTTACGTAATCGACATACATTTCGGATTTATGTTTTTTTTTTTTTGAAGCAGTCGGTAGTTTATAAATTATTATTAGTCATTAATTTGTATAATCTATGATCAGCGTAGCTCACGCTATTCCGTACGATGGTGTAAATACTGTACTCGTATTGAAATTGATAACTGATACACAGAATAAAAAAAATAAATGCCATGTTGTATTATTAGTAATTAATAAACTTAAAAAGACTATCATCAAAAATAGTGTTTTCTTCTTCTGGCTCTCTAAAATAGAGACAGAGTATGTATGTGTGAGCGACAGAGAGAGAGAGAGAGAGAGAGAGAGAGAGAGGGGAGAAAGAAGGGCGAAGAGAGAGTTCATTATATTCATAGTTATTTTATAATAAGTAACAATATAATAACGTTTGTTGTTAGTAATATGCTTCTATTACGTACAGCAATACGCAACAAACGCACCGAAATCTGCCATTGAAATCACTCATCTTGATATTTAATTGTCAATTAGCGACAATAAACCTGTTCCGGCAGCTGATTTAATTATATTTCACAAACGCGTCTGGCTTTATAATCGGCCATACTGCCGAATACAATATTCCATGATAAGTGAATCGGCATTTAACATGTCGCGATATGTCGTGGCATTCAATGAATTGCAGAAGCCGAGCGTGAACTTTCGCAAATTATTGCATTTATGTCCATTTCTGTCAACGCAGATTAACTTTAATCTCAGTTTAACTTGCTCTTTATCTTTTTCTATTTCTAAAAATCTACGTTGACATTGTATGTAGCATATATTGAATTTCGAGTGTCGATAAAGAAACCTTTTGTGCAATTTTTATAGGATAGATATTAAAAATTAATTTTAATCCTAAGAGATGGTGGATTGAAGTATTATTAAGCATTAATGAAGACAATAAAAGAATTTTAATATATAAAAGATTAAAACTACATATTACTGCTTCCTATTTTTTGAAAGCCAATGCGTGATCTACGTTATCAGCTATCAGTACAGAAACTGATTTATAGTACAGGTACGTCTCTATATAATCGTACGTTTGATAGCGCCACATGTACAAAGAAGCACTCTACATATCAATATTTATTAGTAACGTAATTATAAAATTAATTAATTGTTGTTAAATTATTTAAAGTTTTTTTTTCTATTTGTTCGATATCAAATTTTAGAGAGAAATAGAACGATCTATTTGCATTTAAAATTTTAATGCTCACTTTTTCCTCTCAGTTTTAATAAAATGTTTAGAAATTTTAGAATATTGATGTTATTATTTTTTATAAATTATTTTTAATAATTAACGCGATGTGACAGAAGATTTAAAAGAATTTTAAACGCAATGTCAACGCCAAGATTGAAGGCATATTGCGACGATATCGACTTATGCATGTTCGCTTTATATTCTCGGCCAGATCGAACACTTTTCCATGAATACCAACAATCCATTAATGAAAACTTCATCAACGTCGGAATAATTATGTCGCTGCACACGACAGCTGTCCCATTTCCGCAAATTGCCTAGCAGCGGTTGTGATTTAGAGCTATGAATTAAATATTGCGCGATATATATATATATATATATATATATATATATATATAGAGAGAGAGAGAGAGAGAGAGAGAGAAAGAAAGAGAGAGACACCGTTATAATCCTTCGCGAAACGTGTTAGAACACTTTCGTTCGCGTGCATCAGACATGTAAGATATATCAGCGAATTAAATTATCCGAGCTTTATTAAAATATAATTACATATTGGGGCTGTTAATATGGGGTTATTAAAATAATTATAGGTTTTAATATGCAATAACGGTACCGACCCACACGAGTGTATCTGTAATATAATCAAGAACACTCTCGTTACTCGATCGCAAAGAGTGGACGAATACATTTTACCATACGAATAATGAAATAAATATTATTTTAAAAATACTCATTAACGTTACCTTCGGCTCGGCTGCAAAATCAACGAAAAATGCGTGCAATAAACTCAGGAATGTGAGAGGCTGGACTAAAAAAATTATGACTATCAGCGTATAAGAGCATAATTAAAGCTAATTATAAAGAAATGTTTGTTACATTTTTTGTAAATTTACCGTCACGCGAGCGCGGCGTACGTGTGCACGTGTGTGAGATATAGAAAATAAATGATCGGTATTATTTCGAAAATCGCGCGCTACATATTATCGTTGCGTTTATATGGCAAACTTAAATGGTAGCAATCGACGATACGAGTACGGGAAACGAGTGGCGCGGGTATAAATGCATGCGCGGCCGTAATGAAGATGCAGCCGACGTGCGCCATACGTTGGATGCAATTGCGCATTACGCGACGTAGCGCAAAGCGCGCGTCCGGGGGAGGAGGGGGGATGGGGGGGAGGTCGGGACAGATAATTAGATTATACTTTGCAGTGCGCGTTGGGACCGGGCATTATCGTTATCGTCATGGGAGATGACGGCTGGTGTACGTCGCGGATAATCCCTGTTATTTTCAGTAACGCCGGCAATTCGTCCGGCATTATACTGAGTGCTTGCAAAATTAAAATCCCTGCTGTTGCCGTTAGGAACACTTGATGCCACCATATAAGTAGAGATATGACGGTCACATATGAGGAGAAAAGACACTTTACGCTGGACGCAGGATAAAAAAAAGAATATTAATATTAATAATTCACTTTCGATTGATTTAATACAGGAGTGCGAAAAGCGAAACAACAATTGAAATAAATAAAAATGACAAATATATGTACATTGATGATCACTTTTAATAGCGAGATGAAGCAAATTTTATTTTATATATAAAATGAGATTTATATAACGTGCAGCGTTAGAAAAATTCGGATTGAACTTAAAAAAAAAAAAAACTACAGTTTCCGGTGTAGATAAAAAAATATTAGCTTTCGAAGTTAAATAAAAATAAACATATAAAAACCTATTATTTTAAATAAAAATAATAAGACACGCACTATTTTATTTTGAAATTATCGATGTAGAAGCGACAGAAATTTACAGAGACTCTGTTAGAATTTCCAGAAATATTAGTTAAACCTTGGCTAACTTTAACTACTGCTTCGTGCTAAACTCCGTTTAACACGATGTTTACGCAAACTGTCGTCGCGTTTTAGTCAACAGATCAACTTGCTCAACGAACGAATTCATTTGATGCACGAAAGAGAGGAGCTCGAATGAAGCGAAAGTTTGCGTAACAATTTTATTTGAGTAACCTGTACCTGCCGAATATACACAGACGAGGGAGAGAATGAGAGACGGATGAGCCCAACGGCTTTGCGCGTCGTTGGGTGGAATCGCACGCAAGTAACACGAATCGTCGGGAAGATTCGACGGCGGGGAAAATGGTGGATTCTTTTCTCGGCTCTATCCAACCACCATCGTTCTCTTTCCCAGGAGATTGAACAGGAATGCTGAATCTCGCCCGAATGTCTGGGCAAAGGAAGCGGAGCGCCGCGGGGATTCGCAAATTCACCGTGAAATCTTCCGCAAACGGAAGTAAGGTAACTCATTTCCGTTTCATCGGGACTTTCTGCGGCATTAAAAGAGCTCGCCTTGCGAGAGAAGGGGGAGGGAGAGGACGCCGAGGGGTCAGACCGAAAAGCGAGCAAAGAAACCGACGGATTAATTAACGTAACGTAATTACGGCGCGCATTGTGCAGCACGTCGCGACGCTTCGGGGTTGCGGATGAAAGGATCAGAAAACTTCAACCCTTTTCATCTCTTCACGATTCCAATGTCTCGAGAATACATCTTCATTTTTTATTTGGAAACGTGAAAGTACTGCTGAATATAATTCTTTAAACTTATTTAAGATATTTATTTTCAATTCCATGATGTTTAATAACTCGGAATCAACTTTTTGCAGTCGTTTTATCAGTCGTATAATTGGTCCATTTATCCATATTATTTAAAAAGATCTCTTTGCAATCGTGAAGAATGAATTCGTGAAACGTCAAAATCTTTCTTTTAATAAAAAAAAATCCGCGAATCAAAAGAGTCGAATGAATAGGTAATGATTTTTTTCTCGAGTAGATGATAATCCATCGGTCAGATGAACATAACTGCTCGCAAATTATTATTAGATAACATAAATTTGATCGATAAATAAGATCTGAACTGATACAATTAAAAGTTGACATGACAAGATAATGATCATAAAATGTTCTGTTCGATATTAATCCTTTCTCGTTTCTCGTTTGACTTTGGAATGTAAAAAAAAATGTAAAACATTAAAAATGCTCGAATATTTCATAATTTTTATATGTAAAAATATTTTGTCTAAATTATTTAAAGTTATTACTTGAAAATAGTGTTGTTTGAAAACATATTTCATTTTTAAAAGCATAAAAAACATTTAATATTTAATATAACAGTATTAAAAAATAATGTTAGTATTGAAAGCATTACAATAATGTTTGAAAATTTTACACTGAATAATTTATTTCAATATTTGCAACGCGCGTTCATTCGAGCGAGCGAATGAGAAAAAGAGAGAAAAAAAATTAATTCCTTGTTCAAATGAATTTTATTCAATATTATTTCTCGATTATACGTATAAAATGTAACACTTTTTATAAATCGAGTTAAAATACCCGAAACTAACTTCCACCCTACAATTATCAAGAAAATTTTCTCGGACGTAAGTTTTAACTGCACGTCGTCGTGCTAGCGGCCGTGAAAGTAGGTTGCGGAAAATCGACGCGTATAACGAAGCGACGGTGCTATAACGAAGGTCGTTTACGGGAGTCGATGGCCGGTCTTGTATACACACAGCGATCCTTGTATCCGGTAACCGAGTTGAGTGCGAGTGCTCGAATTAAGCCGCGCCACCCCGGGACGCCCGATTTGTCGAGTGACACGGCGACGGGCGCCGAGGGCGCGCGAGCGCCGGAGCGCCTTTCTCCCTCGGGCTTGCGGTCCCCGACGAGCTTTATCGAGTGGACCTTTCTCACTTTTCGAGCCGGGGCGGATTTCCGTTCGAATGCGCCCGGAGGAAAGAAGATTTACCGAGGCGATCCGGAACCGGCTCGGCAGCGGCAGTGGCGGTAGCGGCGGCGGCGGCAGCGGCAGGCGGGCGGCGGCAGCGGTAGTGGCCTCTTCTTTCAGGGATTACGAAGTTGACTTTCGCCGCTCTCAGCGGCGGTTGTATAAAACCCACTTCGTGTTGGAAGAAGGGATTATTGATTGAAATAGGTCGC